CGTATAACTAGGTTAATGATATACGGCCTGCTGAGGATTTTTTTCGTGCGAAAATAAATCTTGGACGGTCGGAAAAACGGCCAGCTATCTTAAATCAATTGAGTTAATGCCTGGAGGGCAGGCGGCTAATGGTGTTAGATGGAGTTATTAAGTATGGTTTCCTGGCTGGACTCTAGCGGCCTTCAGCTCGTTTCCTTTTCCCTTTGATGAATGACCTGCTCTAATGTCTCCTCCGGAGACAAATCTCTCCGCCGTTTATTGTCCGAGTCTCCGGCGATATTACTTCTGAATTTATCTCCGACTGTCCCTAACCGAAGTTGCTTCCTGCAAAGAGCACTTCAAAAAATGCGACTTGAATTAAGTAAGCGACTACACGAAAACGTTGAAAAAACGGAAAAAATCATTTGATTGAGTTTCATAGAAAAAGTTTAATTCCTGCAAAAGTCTAATTAGGAATGTAGTCATTTTGGTTGTAGATCTGTATTAATATAAACATAATTACAAAAAAAACTAACGTGTACTACAAGATAACGCAAATATTCAGTATCTATATCATATGTCTGACAATATTATTATTATTATTATTATTATATCGCATATATTATAAAAGCAAAAGTTTAGTGACTTACGTCCCAACCTCCGGACTTATCTACGCGATCCGGCCCCTGACGCTAAAATGCAATAAAAACATAATTAAAAGAAAGTGTCAGCGTCGGTTGTCCGGATCGGCAGAGAAGCTCTCACGTATGAAGAGCACGGTCGACCTAAGTCAAAGAAGAAGTGACTTCCTCACCCGATTACGGATAGGCCATGCCAGGTTGACACAAGGACACTATTGGATCAAAGACCGCGTAAATGTCGGTATGTAGAGAAAGGTAGCTCGATATGTCCCACCTAATTGACGAGTGCAACTCCTTGGCTCCAAATAGAGAGCGTGTAGGAATGCCACCCGATAAAAGAATTGTGCTTGAAAAGGCAGCGAATATATGAGACCCATTGTCCCAATTCTTGGAGGAAACAGGTGATTTGTGTACCTAATGTGTGTTGAGAGTTAGTGTATTTATTGGCGTGAATGTGTAGAATGAGAGGGCCGATGGCGGAATATTCAGTATCCGCATGACCCTCAATTGAAATAAAGGGTGATGGGGAATATCGAGTACTTCAGTACCCTAAAAGAGTGAGTGGTATAAAAAAAAGTAAGAATGTATTTAAAATTGAATGAAAGTGTGAATGGATTTACGAACCGATTTCTTTGTGGCCGAAATGACGTGAAAATAAATGAAAAGGTGGGCTTAGATTGGCGAACTGCGAAAAATTGTCGTCATGAGGGCAGATCTAATATAAATCTGTAATCAGTAATTGTTTAGTAATTTCAAAGAAATCTCATTTCTACGAAGGTTTAATTTCAAATACGGTAATTTTTTGTGTTTACCAGTATTGAACAGTTCACTATTAATATTGTATCACTTTCTTAATTCAAGGATTATAAAAATTCCATCCGTCAAAATAAATATAGAAAGAGCAATCACGCTTAAACATAGTAATTTCAAATTATTAGTGACTAAGATAGAAATTTTGTTTTTACGAAGGTTTGATAATACATACTGATAATATATAGTGATTCCGGGCCAGGGTAATATATTAAGCAAATATATATTTTGTATATAATATTTTCCAAGACAATCAAAATGTTAGGTATATAACCGTATAGCTCGCGTTAGTATTATTACGGCGCCAATGTATTACAAGTAACATTGTATTTATTCACGTACTATCGAAAAATTTTCAGAAGTCAAAATAACGTAAAATCGAACATTAGCGTTAACAATTGCAATCTTTGAGCGACTACGCAAAAATATAATCATTTAGAGTCTAGATTTCAATAAAAATAAGATACAATTCTATACAGTCCTTTCCTATTATCCAAAACAGCATTTATCGACTGAGTTATAAAATTGAATTTTATGTAAGTTTTCTATTAAATTTAACCTAAGCTGATTTGGTACAGTATTTTACACGCAAAGCAAATAAGTTAGTTTCTTTAAGGAACTATTTATTTGTTTTTACTCTTCATTTTATTCTGTGTTCTGTAATTCTACACAAGAACGGTTCAAGATTGTTATTTACATAAAATGTAACCGATGGAAAACATTAAACAGAAAACTTTAGGTTACAGTGTTTTTTAATTGTTGTGAAACTATTATTGGAAAAATTGAATTCAGTTATAAAATATTCACACAATAAATTATAATATAGTAACCCGATATTACGAACTAAAAGTAAAATTAAAAACTATAAGCATTCTGAGGTTAAAATGGATAACCTATAATTTTGTTTTCTTTAATGCAGATAGCTAACAAAAATGCCGGGCGTATTGTATCGTATATAATTAAATAATAGAAACAAGGACCTAAACTTTGGAAAAGATTGGATTTTTTATCAATTATAAATAATGAGCTGCCCACAATTTGTTATATATCCAACCGTATTCCAAATAGTTCGTTTTTTAAAATATCCCAAATGGTTTATCATTAGGATAGAAAATTTCACGCAGGGTGAAAACGTCCCCGATCTCTAAAAATTGTTCAAGTGTAGTACTCAAAATAATTTTAAACAATCTAAAGAAGTGATATTATCATATGATGGGGGTATATACGTATTCCGAGACCACTGCTTGCTGGAACTCGGAACATACTCATGTATGTACGTATAAGCAAAAATTAGAACAAAGAAAAAGGTTGTGATGTACAGTAAATACATCATCACATGATGAATCAACAACCAAATAAAAGGAGAAGGAGTTTTATCGTAAAAGTGATATTTAGATAATTGGAAACATTCTCGTATTAAAATGAATGTGATTTGAAAATTGAGTGTGTGTGTGTGTGTGTGTGTGTGTGTGTGTGTGTGTGTGTGTGTGTGTGTGTGTGTGAGTTTGATATTAGGCTTTACTTCGTACTTCTAGAAAGGCTACCACATTGAAATGTGTAATGGAATATTAATTGCAATTTTCAAATATTATAGTTAGAAAATATAGTCAGATATAGTTTTTTATGTATTTTATCTTGTAGCAGAAGTGTTTTTACGATTATTAGAAACTATGCAATCTAAAAATAGTTGTATATAATTTCAGTGTCAATGCATAATCACAATTCGTTTAAATGATTTAAATTATTTCACATATAAAACAAATCAAAGAAATATTGTCAGTTTGTACGGTGAAAGATTGTTTTTTTTCCTTCCTTACCTTTATATTAAATGTTTATAAACATAAAACGAATTTTTTACATTATTTTATTGCAAAATCATGAAAAGTCTAGAGAGAAAAATTATGTGTGCAATAGTAAATTTGAATACTAAGCATCTTCTTAAACGAAGTATGAACTATACACGTTTTTGTAGAAAATTGATTTTTATTATTAAAAATAGTGACTACATATTGAACAGTAAAATGTACTATATATTTAATAAATAAAATTTTTAAGACAAACAATCATAGTTAAATGTAACAAATGTTATAAGAGACCAACTTTTCATTTTTCCATAACAGTGATAATCACAAAACCAAAATATGAATTTAAATTTTGTGAAAACAGACTTTCCTAATTTTAGCACTGAACAAATAATATATTTATGCATATACAAAAATAATATATTTATGCATATACAATACTAGTGTACTTTTTAATAAGAATAACCGAATGATGAAATTTATTATATATTAAATATATAATATTTTCAAAATTTTTAAAGAAATGTAGTTACATGTAATAAATGATATGGGATTGATAAACGTTACTTATTGATTTGCGCTTTTAATTAAATCCACCCTCATTTATTTGATAATTATTCGGAAATCGTGAGATGCGGTCTGGTGTAATGTAGGTTTCAGAAAAACATTTTCTTTATCGTGCCAACGTTTCGATCTTTATTGAGATCACCTTCTTCACTAATCACCACACATTTATTTGATAATTACATTTGAGCATTTAAGGTAATAAGGAGTGTTTTCGATCATAATAAATGATATAGAATAACAGTGATAATTACAAAACCGCAATATGTATGTAAATTACGTGAAAACAGACTTTCCTAATTGTAGCATTGAATTAATAATATATTTATGTAAATACAAACGGTATGACCTGTTATACTTTTTAATAAGAATAACCGATTGCTGAAATTTATTATATATATNTATATAAATCTAAAATATTTTCGAAATTTTTAGTCAAATGTAGTAGATAGTACGTATACATGATAGTGAATTCTTTCGATCATATCAAATGATATAGACTAATAGTGATAATCTCAAAGCCAAAGAGGCGATATGCATGTAAAAACAACCTAAAGGATTTTCTTAATACATAGCAGTACGGTACAAAGTATGTATATTTTTATGCAAATAGTATGGTAATAGTAGAACTAGTGCACTATTAAATAAATAAATAAATAAAGTATTAAGGGATGAGGATATTTAATTACAATGTCCACATTTCCAGGAAAATATCTCCTTCATCACTACTATGAATACTACTATATTTTACTGAATTAAAAGGGTAACGTTTATTTACAAATGTGAATTTGGTTTTAATAAGTTCAGATAAATTAAAAGTTTACATTTTATTAAACCAGATCTACGAGGAGTTATAGAATGTAATAAAGTATATATCAAAACTTTCATGCAAACAAAATTTATTTTATTAAACGATGCGAAACTTTATTTTTTGGTTCTTATTCGTTAATTAAATGTAATGATGTGTTTTTGAGCACTTGAAATAATAAAAACAATGATATTCTTAAAACCAAAGATGGCATATTATGTATAATATCTAAAAACATCTTGAAGTAACTTTAATTTGAACTTTTTCTTATTGTATTTATTACGTAAAAATTTCTCTTTAGACAAAATCTTATGTACTTTCGTACTGTGTGCGTCAACACGTAAGTATTTGGCAAATTTTCGCGATAAGCCTATCGTTTGATGTAAGCAGTTTTACCTCGGCAAAGCAGACCAGTGTGGAAGGAGAGCAGGATGACACCAAGGAGGCACAATCGCCGGACACCAAGCAAGTAGAGCAGGAGGCAAAGTCTGCGGGTGCCTTCTCGGCGGCGGCGTCGATTCTTTCGATGGCGAATTCGGAGGCGGCGGCGACCCCATCACACAGCTAAGAGCATACCGTCAACGGTAGAAGTTAGAGAGGGTACTCGAAGTCCTGGAGATTCTCGATGTCTATCCCACTCGAAAAACGGGGGTTGATCCAAAAGTGTGGAGGGGTAAATTGCCGTCCAACCAGAGTACGGACTACCCCTCGAGTGTACCCGCCCTCTCGACTCGAGGGTGCGCACTACTAGACGAGTGTACATGTGTACCCCTCCAGCTCACTCGACCTCCTTCTCTTCTCTATTGTATCCGTTTTTATTAGCCGCCTACCTAAGGGTTTCTCCTTATGAACTCCGCTATAAGTATGTCGACATTAAGTGCCTCTCAAACCCGCCTCTATTAACCGATGCCTCTGATTAAACAACGCCGAGGAATCGATAATCACTCGACACCCCTTTACCCTCCACTCGCGGGTTTCATGCGGTTGTTATATTTATATTATGCTACATGCCCTCTGTTCCCATTTTCGCTAACACTGTTTCATGTCTCGACTTTTATCCCTTACACGGCAACCATCTGTCTTGTTTTACTGCCCCTGAGTTCACTAAATTAAGAAAAAATATATTGTGACCGTGTTGAAATCTGTGGACTGATGACTCTATACTTTGGTTTTTCCAGGTATTTGGTTTGATTCTCTATTACCAATTTTAACAAAATCTCTTACAATTAACCGCCGAACGAAATGCAGAAACGCTCTGACAGATTAAAGACCAGAATGAATGAACATGACAAAGAAACATGCCAACTTTCACCGTTTAAAACAAACAATAAAACGCTCAAATTGTCCTCAGATCAATAAATATAATGTGTGTTTTTTAGCGGCCGGTTGTTTAATAATTTGTTGGATTCATAAGGATCAGTAAAGAATGAGGTAGCTTAGCAAAACTCCTTTTTCATTTTTTGCAGCGTTTCGACCTTTAGTCGGGTCATCTTCAGGGCTTGGTGAATTACATAGCATATGTTGATAGGAAGAGTTACAATACATATGTAAATATAAACTTTGAACAAAGTGATTATTTGGAAAACGTGAGATGCGGTCTTGTGTGATGTAGGTTTAGAATAACGTTTTCTTTAACGTGCTACGTTTCGAACTTTAGTTAGATCATCTTCAGGGACCAAAATGTGTATTTCCTGTGTAGATATGTCACGGTTGTAGTCGTGTGTAAATATTATAATTACCCATCATTTTATTGTTTATGAATATTCTAATCATTAAGCGAAAGTAAAACGATTCTCTTGTTTTACTGTTAAATTAAACCAGTTGTGCTTCAAATCATTTTCCATAAAATTCCGTATATATATGAAGACAAAAGTGAGTGCAACTGAACCCATCATTATAATTTTTTCTTCCAGTTTCTATTGATTGACAAATGAAGTCCAAAGTAGCCGTAGTTTATCGGATATTATACAAATATTTGTAGATTACCTATTATATCAAATCCTTTATCAAAAATGGTAATCGGAAAGGCTTGTTTGGCCAAATTGTTAGTCTATTAGGAAACGTACAATTTGAGAAAATTGATTTGAGCAGGGCTAGTACGCTAAGATATAATTTTTCCATCTACAATATTTATAAATTCGTCGTAAAAATTTGTAATTGATTTAAGATATCGACAATTTATTTCAAAGCTTGAGTGTAATTCCATTTAAAAAAAAGAGTTGCGTTTAAATGCTAAATTAATTTTTCACTATAGCAGTTCTGAAAAAAATGGATTTTTGTGTAGATGGTTAAATATGTTTATTTATAAAACTACGTATTCAAAATTATCAACATTGGTTGTTTGTCATGTTAAACGTTAAAACAGAGTAGGTATAATTAAAAATATATACAGATTAAACTGCATCAAACGTGAGAATAGGAACGAATGACTAAATAACCTGCTACTATGTTGATTTAAAAATTAAGAAATTTGAAAAGTTAATATGATGCAATAAACCAGAATTAGACAGAATTTCTAGTTAAATAATGTATAAAATTGTCACAATAATTTAACCGATTTATTGGTTTAAGACATAAACAAAAATATTTTTAAAATGTCTTGTGTCTTGTTTAATTTTAAAATACTCAATGAATTTAAATACAAATTGTTTCCTCTATTATAGCTGTTATATTTGCATACATAATTTCTCTATGATTCATCTTTCTCTAAACATTAATTTAAATGTGATTTGATATTGTATTTTGGTTTTTGATCATTTTGGTTTGCCTATTCTCACTGTCTTGCTCTTTGTTAGAATAAAACATTTATGATTTAAACTTAGTTCGAAAGTGATAATTAGATCAGTTAATTTGATCAACTTCTAAGTTACTTCAAGAAATAGAGAAGGTTTGAAGGACATTCAGGAATGGAACTCAAAGATAGGCAATTCACAAGAAGAAAAAAGTACGATAATAACAAAATCGTTTTAACTTAATATTGTCTTGTTGAAATGTGACAGATGCTATATTTTGCTTTGATAAACTATATTTATTCTATGTAAAAAAACACTCACGGACCCTTATATTTTTTTCGAAGCTAATGTGTTATTTTATTTTTAAAAATTATGTATTTAAGGACTATATATTTTACCAATGGCAGATCTTATATATCTGCTATTAGATACCGACAGTTATACTAGGCTGTCTAATCATTAAAAAGAATTTTAACAGATACATAATTTTAAGTTCGTTCCAAAAGACAGTTGCATCGGCCAGTTTGATTACCTGTTTAATTATTAGAAGAAATAAAGAAAATATGGAGGATTTTCGATCATGGAGTTCAAGAATAGCTTGAATAAAACTTACTACTTAATAAAAAAAATACAAAATGTACAGGGTTGCCTTAGGCCAGCTCTGACTATCAGACTAAATAATGGTTATTTATTTCAGTTACACAGAGAATTTCATGTTACAATAAAAACAATTATTATATATCAGTTCCAATTTCACCATGTCTGAAGTTTCTATAATGGTTAAGAAAAGAAAAATTTGGAAATCGATAAACAAAAATTTTTTTCAACTCAGTTTCAAACCCAATATTTTACAAAGCTAGAGTTTCATGGTAACGTCATTCCATTTTATAAAAATAATGTATTAAGGACTAAATATTTCTTAGAATCCAAACGTTGGATCGTCCATTTCCATTTCATAATTACACGAATAAGTAAATACGTTACAAAAACATAAATAAAAAATAAATAAAATAAAGTAAAAAATACAATAAGACAATAAAATTAATACAATAAATTATATAACTTAAAAGTACGTAAGGTATATAAAAAAACGCAAACCAGAAAGTTAGACTCCGTAAATAATTACTTAAAGCATCCATCCACAGTGATGAAATTTTCTTCAAAAACTACTGTAAAGAAACAGAAATAAATGCAAAAAATAGTCGACCTGAGCATAGATCCGTTTTAAATTCGAGTTGGTACATTTTTCAAATAAAGGCGATATCGTTATGATGTTTGTGGATTTGGACTACTTAAAATATTTTCCAGTGTATAACTGTTGATAGAAAGAGAATTTACTGAGGAAAAGGAAACTTTGAATGTTAAGAATAGGGCAGAATGAAGAGATGGGTGAGATCGTCATTCCTCTTGCAACAAATCGTACGAATATATTGAAATTCAGTTATATCACATCACAGAATGCAAAATGTTTAATATAAATCTTGACTTATTGACATCCATATATTTATATATTATATGTTGATAAATTGAATACTCTTTAGCCATACATATACCATATCGAGGTATTATATGCGTATTGTAGTTACTGTTTTAAATAGTAAGTAACAATGCCTTCGTATTTCGTTGGGTTTTCTTATTTTTTTCTTTATGTCTTCTTTGGAAACAACCTGTACAAATTTAATTTCCTTTTAACTAATGCCGGTAATAAAAATCCAAATAGTAATATTTAAGGTCAATTTGGATAAAGTTGAAAAGTGATTTTCGTAAGGTTTTTATATTTGGAATTATTGTTTGACATGCTTCATTTTTGTATATTACAAACGCCTACCCATAAAATTGTATTTTTAACATTATTATAATAAAGAAATATACTTGCGGCTATTTTAACAAATTGTTTATTCATCATCAGCTCTCTTTCTTTTTCTTTTCATAAAAAAGAAATACCTACGGTGTAAGAACGATTTCCGCTAATCTGGTAATAGGTTCGCCCCCACATATTGCCTGGTCGCACGCACCCTTCTCATACCTGCAAAATACATCCCCCCTTACATACTTTTACCGGCACCCTCATAAAGTACATCGCCTGTTTAGGCGTTATACGTTCTTTTTTTGACACAAAACAAACTGCTTTTGGTCTTCCCGCCAGTGGATAAATAGGCGGAGAAAGACTGTAAATAATACATTGTTTGATTTACGCCAATACCCTTGCCATTGCGATAGGGATCTTCGTGATTGTGATAACCTTACGAAGACGCGGCGTTTGTCTGATCCTATCTTTACAGTGTTGTAAAACCTGAGAGCCGGAATTGTTCGGAAGCTTTAATCTCGAGGATCTATAAACCATTGCCGTTTACTTTATATACTTTTTACTGCAGACAATGCATTTTTGAGACGCATTGACCCACACATACATCCGACACAATAACAAAAACTGTAAATTTTTGCCATAAAATTTATTTCTGTTAAAAATGCAATACTTATTAATTAGCCAAACATCTTTTTCCCATTTTTTAATTGAGGACGAAATTGGGACACCATGATAGGTAAATGAGCTAACGACAAAAGAAGATTCCTCCGAATATCAGTGTCTCTACAAAATTGAACAATATCTGAAATTAACATGGAGAAGAAGGTTGATGACACTTTTTCCCTTGAAAGAAACCTTTTGTAACTTTTATTTCTTCTCTCTTGGAATTCTGTACAATTGCGATGTTTGCAAGTGAATACGGTTTTTTTAACTAATCTTATGATTTTAAGGGTTACATTTAAGTTATATTTCGAAAAAGGAAGGCATGGCGGACAGAGTCAAAAGTTTTCTCAAAGTTGATAAATAAAATGAAAAAC